AAGTCTGTTGCTTTATAAGAATCTGATTGGATCTAAAGCAGCACCCGGTTCCAGGTCTCTGTGTAGGACAGAGCTGTGGTAATAACTTCTGCCCATATGATAGAAAAAACACCTGACCTCTCAGTGGTAGTTGATGCTCTTTCTCTCCTTTGGTCATCCTTGGCCTCACTCAGTGAAACTGGTGAATGCCAGGCTGCCAATCACTGCCAAGAAGAGGAACACAGATTTCAGGGTCATCTAGCCTGCCTGTTCTATTTCTGCTCTGTATGACTTTGGACTTACTTGCAAGACAGGGTCTTGCTATGTACTTCAGGCTAGATTTCAACTCACTATGTAGTCCAGGCTGGCTTTGAACTCATGGTAATACTGCTTCAGCCTCAGTGCTGGGATTACTGGTGCGTGCTACCATTTTAAACCTGAGAATAATATTTAAATTATAGATTCCTATGAAGTTTTAGAGTGAATTGACACAAAGCACAAAATCTAGCCCATGCATGGGTAAGCTGGGTCTTGAAGACTCTTTGAACTTCAGTTCCCTTATCTGTAGAATGAATGTAATAATAAACCTACAAACTATCTTATGGTACAAGAATAAGAAACTATTCCGAGTATCTTGTAGAAGGACATTATAAACTATGAAAACTTACATATTTATATTTATATTATCCATAAACTGTGACCCAAACTTTTAAAGCACCTCTCTCTGTAATTAAGCTCAGAACTCATGCACAGGACCAGACACGTACACAGAGCTGAGAAAATGATCGTGGAATTGCTCCTCCAAAGCCTCTACCATAAGTTTTCCTGACTTAGAAGAAGACCGGAAAGCATAGTATCTGCTGATCCTTAGAGATGAGTTGCCTTTGCTTATCAAATATGGGAAGAGCCGAACAAGAAAATGAATACAAAATTAGCTAATGGAACACAAAGTACAAATGAATCTACCAAATGCAACATGAGCAGGGAAACCACCAAATCCCCATGTCACAGAAATTCAACAGGGAATTTTTGACGTATTTTTGTTGGGACTGAAAATGAACAAGGAGAAGATGACATGCAAGTCTAAGAGATAAAGAAAGATTTAAGTATGGATATGTAAGCAGAGCACCACAAGAAAGACTCAGACAACAATCCCAATGAGCAAAATATCACAGAAAAAAAAAATAACAAGTACACAGGGCAGCCAGATCAAAATCAGATTACTTAATAAAAGCTAGTGTTTAAATGGAAAACAATGTACATTGTTTGTCCTTGAGATGTGACATGCACTCCATTTTTAGAATGCCAAAGCACTCCACAGCAACAGCCCATATTTGACAAAGCCCTGTCACCCTTGAATCCCAGAGGTCATTGTTTCTATACAATAATGGGAGGCTTGCTTGAATAGATGTCACTGAATTTAGCAGTCATTTGGAATAGGAAGCCCCAGAAAATAAACCTATACAGAAAGAGGCAGAATTTGAATTAGGCAAGGGCCACCTGTTCAATAATGAAATAATTGCTCAAGGCACGTTCTTCTGTAATCTTTTCTGATATGAAAACTATTTTGGGGCCCTACTTCTCTCAATGCTGCCTCAACATTTGTATATAATCTTAGGGCCTCTTACAGACACCAGTGCGGAAGGCAGACAGTCACTTCCTTAATGTCACAAAAATAGATCCAATTTTATATACATCAGGGTGATTTCAGAAGCAATTTCTACATCTTCAGTGTAAGCATTACTTACATTTTCCCCCTTCAAATCTAATCCAAGTGGTTCCATAGGACATTTTAAAAGTACCTGATACATTTTAGGGCTTTAAAAAAAAATCCCCAGAGTGTGTTTATAGCCGCAGCCTGAAGACACCAGATGCACAGAAAGAGTGTTAAAATATACTGTGATTCAAAGAAATGCGAAAGTTTATAGTAATCAAGTATATTAAGTCAAATAAATTTTTGGGCCCTTTAAAAAGCAGTATCATTTAAATGAATGTATATGTAAATATATGTTTGTTTATATAGCTCTGTATTTACATGCAGAGATGTGTACATATCTATGTGCTTTATACATCTGTACATACAGGTTATATATATCCATGTATTTTATAATTACACACATATGCACATGTATGATCATTCGTATGTGGCTTTTAAAATATCTAATTACATTCCACTGGGTATTATGCCTCTTCCTTTCTGGCAAGCAAATCTCAGTCTTGGTCATTTTCATCTTAAGGCATTGATGAAAAATGTGGTGAAGCCCAAGAAATTAGTGTTGCCCAGGCTGTTTTCATGTGTGATCAGAAGGTTTGAGACCAAATAACTATAATTTTAGGGTTATAATGATTGCCACGTATCTTTCACTATAACTGTTTGGCATTCAAAGATCTCCTAAGACATATTTACAAAAGGAAAAAGTACTCCCAAGAGGTTGGCCTATATACCTGAAAGGTTTGGCATACATAGGTATGCTGGGCTTGTATTTTCAATCAACAATTCTTGCAAATGAACTTCTCTACCCCTGAATCTAAAGCAGGAGGGCCAGTAATCTTGCAGTGCAACCAGAAGATATGAGGGCTCAGGCTGGCCCTTTATTCAAAGACTAACCAAGTCTATTTCCTGTGAGTGTGTTCTTAGCCTGGCATATATCAACATTCTTTCCCGGCTCTGGGGAATGTATGGGTACCAGTGGTTCAGTTAATGAGACAGAATCACTCAGAATAGAATGGCTACATAGTCAAGCAGACCACAGATTTGTCTCTGATCTCTAAGAAAAATAGAAGTTAAATATTCCCTCAAAAAGTAATCAGTAGACTTTGTCTTAATCCCATTTACTGACTTCTTGCCTGAGAATACCCACCAAGAGCAAGTTTTTATATTTATCAAGAACAGTTTTTATGTCTAAAGTATAGAAAAATTTTATATATTGAAAAAAGTTTTTATATTTTTACTTATACACCAAAAAGCAGTCCGATTTGCTTCAACCTCAAAGAATGTGTTTACGTAAAATAAAATGAATGCTGGCAGGTACCTACACTTTTTTTTTCTCCAAATGGGAAATGGGTTGAAAGCCATTACCTAATCTTAAGAAGTGCTCCAACTTAGTAACATAATAATGGACAAAGCACATATCATATGTCTATTGGCATAGTGCAGAGGGAGGTATACAACATTATTTTTGTGATATTTTTGTTAAAATGTTTAACCCTAACATAATCATGATGGGAAAAAATTAGACAAATCTGAGTTGTGAACCATCCTATGGAGCAACTGTGCCAGATTTTGAAAAATAGAAAGCTCAGTCAGTATCCTGAAAAAAAGGAAAGCTCACATTTTGGCTGTTCTGTATAAAATGAGTTAAAGAGACAAGAAAATCAAATGTGAGCACCTTAGTCTGAATCCTGAATTACAGTACAAGAAGCACGCAGAACACTTGGTGAATACTGAGGGATTTTAACTGTGGACTGGAATATCAGATATCATTAAATCAAGGTTTGCATTTCTTTGGGTAAGATATTAATTCTCTTGGGGCTGTGTTGAAGAGTTGTCCTAGTTCTTAGGGAACAAGTGCTGAGTTCTCTGGAGTTAGAGTGTCAAATGTCTGCAACTTAATTTTCTAAATGGTTCATAAAATTGTGTATACAGTGAAAGAGAAAGTGTAACCATTGCAAAATGCTAACAACTGGTGAATAGCGGTAAAGGATATGTTAAGTACTCATTTTGCTTTTTCTCAACTTGTTTTGGAGGTTTAAAATAATCTCTCTTCCCAAAGATAGTTCATGAACACTTGAAAATAGCCTCCCTTAAATGCCCATATTCTTAGCCAGCCTGCCTGGAGGAGTTATCTGAATCCTAGTCCTCACTTCTTTCCCTGCCTCTCACCTACAAGGAGATCTTGACTCTACAGATAAGCGTGGGGCCCAGATATGTGCATTTAAAAAAACTTCTCAAATGGGTTTTGTATTGCACATGAGTTTAGGAATCATGGGCCTGAGTTATTCTTAGATCCTGAAAGCATCAGGAATGGGCAGTGTGTCTCTATGAAGTTGATATAAACACATGAAGCTCTGGATACTCGACCTACTCAGAGTAATGCTAAATACTTCACAGGACCATGGCAAGAATAATACAAAAGATAGTGTCTGCAGTGCAGAAGGTGGTAAATAAATGTTTGGTCTTCCTTTATCTTCTCATAGATTCACATCATTCTAGATGGTCCACATCACAGTAGTTTTTATAGTGTCATTTCTTCCATTTGAATTTTACGTAATGTAAGAAGGATGCTTGTCTGTGCTCATATCCTTTTAGATTTCCTGCATGCCCCAGTTTAAAGGCTGGGAAATCTCTCTTCAGTCTAATTACTAAGTTAGCCTTATAGTTTACCAGCCTTAAAGTTCTCCTTTGGATGAAGTCTTAAACTCTTATATTAGTTTGGGGTCCTACACAAGGCAGGTAGAATCCCAAGTCGGGTATTGTTGACTAAATGTCACTTGGAATATTGTTGACTGTGGCTTGGAACTGGCCTGGAAGGTATAGTTTTCAGTCTATACAAGTAATTAATTACCCATGAGACTTGGAAAGGTCATTCCTCTGAGTCTCAGTTTCCTAAGCACTCAAAAAGGAGATAATAATAACCCATGACTCACCTATCTTCCAAGATATATGTGAAGCAGTTTTGCACAGGTGAGTCATAGATTATTATTATCTCCATTTTGAGTGCAGCATATTTTTCTCCTTAAGGCATACTCCTTCTCCTTTCTATTTTTTTCCATTTTAAACTCTATCGCTCATTTTAACCTACTTCTCTTTGATCTACAAGCAGTTAGAATGACTTGCTCCCATTTCTCTCTGTTTAAATACCCCTTTCACCTTTGGATTGGTTGCCTGCATTCTGGACCATCCCATGGAAGCATCCCAACCTCTTATCTTACAGCACCTGATACTGTGAGGATTCCACAGCAGAGATATTAAGGCCAAGCTGTACCAAGGCTATCTCTTCCACTTAGTTGACTCAACTTACTAAATCCATTAGCATCCTGGGAACTAGAGGAGAATCCTTCATCATTGCGGTTGGAGCTGAGCTTGGTGGTAGGTTTGTCAGCTGAGGCCACAGGTCCCATCTCCCTTTGGGCTCCACTCTGGGTCTCCTTCTGCTTCTTGGCCAGCTTCCTTTGGGACATGTGCAAGGGAAAAAATCACAGTCAGATGGTGCCAGTTGCATTAAACCATTGGGAAGATAGATTACTCTCCTTCCAACTCTTCATCCTCAATTTCCAACTTTGTTAATTCTCCAGAAATAGTTAACGCAAGCCCACCAATGTCAAGGTAGAATAAACCTAAATCTTCTTGAAACCATTAATAGAGTCTTTTCAGTAGGAACCATGAGACTCATGGTGTCTCATTCCCAACAATAGGGATATTCTATACTTGAAATTAGAATGAGAACTTGAGATGTTATAATATTTTCCCAGCTCTCCTTCCAAAGGAAGAAAGAAAGCATTCAGGCTAGTCTTTCTGTTCTCATGTCTCCTAATACAATGGAAAATAGAGGCTTATCTTTCTCAGAAACTGAGATAATGACGTAACCTGCCAAATATTGGTAAATGGAGGTAGGGGCTGGTAGTTAGCGATGGGTGATGATAGAGGTTAGTCTTATAGCTCAAAGGGGAAAAGCTAAAGCTGAACTTGATGTACACATATTTTCATGAAAATAACACACCCTGAGACCCAGATGGTCATTCATAATAATAGTGCAGAGTAATAGTTCTCAAAGTTTGGCATAGATCCGAATCAGCTGAAGAGTTATAAAAGCACCCATATGCCTAGGATTATGGAAGTAGGACAGGTGATTATGACACCAACCAATGAGGTTAAAACTATCACCATTGACATCAGACAGACGTGGGTTCATGCCCTACCTCTGTGTCTGTGGGCTGCATGACCTAGGAAAAGGTCATTCATCTCTTTAGGTCCTCAACTCTCTTTGTGTACACTCTGCCCAATAATAGGACCAATTGCATAGGTTTGTGAGCAGTAAGGATAATACACAAACTAACGAATACAGTGCCTGGCAAATAATAAGCATTCAATCCATGTCAGTTGCTATTCTTATCATTATATCATTGCCAAGTGATCTAACTACATTCTAATTCCTAAATTCCCTCTTCAACAGCTCTAAAGTACAGTCTTAACTTTCCCTGCATTATATCAAGGCATAGAGACTTTGATTGCTCCTCAGGGAACTGAAAGGTTAAAGAGTTCTTCTTTCATGGATTTGAAATCTACTTCCCTTAAATTTTAACTCATAGGTCTTAGTTATTTCATTAGAGACATAATAATATGACTAGCCTTTCTTGCATATAACATGTATTTAAATATTTTTAAAAAGCAAACATGAGCCCTATAGGTTTCCCAACACATATCCATCTAAATGTGCTTATAATGTTCCTAACACATGGAAATACAAGTAAATATTAAATATCCGGAGGATAAATTTCTTCAGGTCTCTGGTTCCATTCTTCACAGGTCCTGGCTTTGAATTTAATGTTGGCTATTTCTAGCTAAATACAGAAAGGATAGATGCTCCAGGAAGGACAGCAATTCAACTGAGGGAATAATTTTCCTAATTTCCTAATCACAATAGAGGCCACTCTAGAGGGAATAAACTTCTTGCCAGGTGAGTTATTTAAAAAGAGGATAACCCTAAACATAGAAGTACTGTAGAGGAGTTTATCTATGACCAACTGCAGTTTGATAATTTCCTCTTTGAAACGTGTCCTACGACTGGGTATAGACTGCACAGAAGGACAAATGGTGCACTCACAAGAGAATGGTTTCAGTCCTATTATAAAAGGGATATTTATAAAAAGACTAATGATAAGGAGGGCATGGTGGTGTACTTCTGTACTCTCAGCACTCTGGAGGCTAAGGCAGGAGAAATGTGAGTTTGAGCCCAGCCTGGGCAATACAGTTGTATCTTGTCTCAAAAAAAGTTTTTAAAAAGATTGGGGGAGTAGTTCAGGGCAAAGGTTCTCTGTCTAGCACCACACACACACACACACACACACACACACACACACACACGAAAGACGAAGACTGCTGGCAAACATGTGAAGAGCAAAAGGTACCCCACAGTATGATATAATGATGGGGCAGCTGTTCACAACCCATGAATCGAGAAAGGCATATAGAGAAATGGTAATCAGAACCACAGGACAGAGCTGTGAAAAATATCACCCAGACAGAGGCAGTAGCTGTCTCTCGTGCAGTCCAGGTACAATCAGTCCCAGATGAGTTCACAGAAAGGATATCAGAGACCAAAGTACCCTGACCTGACTGTTTACTCTCTATACTTCTGACCTCCTACAGCAGCTCTCATTAGCTGATCTCAGTTAAAATTCAGAGGTGGCAAAGGACTACACAAAAGGAGTTCTTACAGAACATTCTGTAAAAGCAGAGAAGAGTAGAGAAAAGTACAGAGTCAGCTCAGATCTAGAATCCCAGAGCACGCAGAGGAAAACTTCTGCATCCTTCATTTTGAACACAATTTGGAGACAAATGCAGCTTAAAATGGAATTCTTCATTTATTTTTTTTAAAACTGGGCTGAGGAAAGAAGGGCACTCAAGAATAGGAACACATGTTTTGAATATAATGCTTTGGGGACTGCCATACTGTTTTACTAGTAAAACTATTCCAGGCAGATAGAAGAACCAGAAATGAAACATTGGATCAGGCGAGCCCTTTCTCATCATCAATAGACCATCAACAGGCAGGAAGAATGCCAGCGAAAGAAAAATGAGCATTTCTGCTGCTGATGACATTTAAAATTTTATTCTTCATTTATTATCAAAAGGAGTATGTTTAAAAATGTATATGTGACCTTCTTAATCATAAATTTGAAAAGATATACAGCATATCCTTTACCTCTATCCTAGTTCACATTGCCCCAGCAGAAAATAAAAGGAAATTTGATAAAGGAATTAACTTTAAAACTATAAATGCATGTCTATCAGAGGTTCTGCTATTTCTTTGGGGGAAGAATTTCTAACCAGTCTCTAATCAATTCTGTTATGAGTAAAAGAACAAGAAGGGAGTTGTCTTAGGCACAAATTTGTTGGTTTCCAAAGGAATATTAACAAAAGAGTCTCACTGATTCTATAAAAAATGGCCTTTTACAGACATGTTTGTGTAGCTTGGAATAGCTGTATTATAAAGGTGAAACAATGGAGCCTTTCCAAAAGATAGTTAAAAATTAGAAAGCTGAGTTGTAAATATTAGATATATGACATCTATATTAGTCAGTTTTACATTACTATAATGAACCACCTAAGCAATTCACTTATGAGGAGAAAATACTTATTTTGGCTTATGGTCCTAATTGCCTGTTCCTATATTTGATGCACACATTAAACTGAGCCTCTAGCAAGGAAGGCACATTATGTGATCCACGTGGCAGAACAAACTGTTCACCTCATGAGCTAATGGAACACAACTGGATGGGGCAAGGTCCCTCGATCATCTTTGAGGAGATGCCTCCCAGTATGCCTCACCTAAAGGTTCACACCATCTCCCAACACTGCCATTCTACAGATTGAGCCTTTAACAGATGGAGCTTTGGTGGGGGGGGCACTTGTCTAAGCCATGGCAACACTGTTAATATTTAGGCCATGGCTGACATATACTGTACTTTCATATTGACGATGATGTTATATGAGTGTTTTGGCAATAGGCAAACACACTTACAAGGTTGAACTGGAAGAGACGTAGAAGGAAATAAAGCACAAAACACAGTTTAGGGATCTATATTCTTCTAGAATTTAAAATGTAAGTATCATAAATGGCCTCAGTATTCCAGGAAAAGAAATACTTATTCCATTACCAAAAAGTTTAACTTACCCCTTTTTTCCTCAGGAGAGGGAAATATCTAAACCTGTTAGTAGGGCATATAATTACCTCAAACTATGGGTCAGGCTTCTGCTTAGTCTTATCTTTCTTACATACTTCCTTTTAGGAAACACCAACTACCGCCTCCCATTCCAACCCATCTTCAGTGCTCTTTACTCCCTAACATGGCCCATGCTTCTTTACTAGCTGCCTCCTTTTCATCCTTCAAGGCTCAATTTCTCTGACAAGTTGTATCTGATTGAGGCTTCCCCGTGCTCCTCTAATAGAATTATACTTTCCCCTCTTGACGGACTCATCCCTGGAACAAATATTCACTGAGCAAGTGTAGTATCAGTCTCTCCTAGGCGCAAGAAGACCATACCTTCTTGATCTTCATGGAAACAAGAGACTAACAACAAAGACACATTAAACAAGTAAAAGCAGAAATTAAAAAATCACAAATATGATGAATGCCAAGAAGAGTATTTGGTGTTATAAGAGAGCAAATACCTGGCTTACACCTTGACAAGAGACCAGTGAAAGTTTAGATGTGCTGTCAGCTAAGAACTTGTCTATTCACATGGAAGTGATTCAGCTTCCACGACATCCACGACAGCAAGGATCTCTTGGGAGAAAGGCTGTTGACTCCTTGCACCTAGCCCAGGATTTTGCTCAGTGTCTGGCCACTGCCATAGCCAGTGCTCCATAAATTTGTTATACCAATTTGTATTTGCCTGTGATATGAAGTGTAGAAGATTGTCATCCTACTTAAAACACAAATTATAACCACTTTAAAAGTAGATATGTACAAGAAAAGAATGAAAAGCCTGCATAAAATCAGTTTGTGCCTTGGGATATTTATACCTAGAAATATTATTGGTTAATAACTCAACATTTACTTCTTTAAATGTTTGCAGAATTAATGTAATGTTTGCAGATGTCAGAAATTCCACAACCTATAATCCCCACAGAATATCAATAGCTATAGAATATTTAAAAAAACCTTATAAAATTGTTATATAGTTTGCAGGATGCTCACATAATTTGTCAAATCCTCTGAACCTGGAATTACTTGCCTAGTTATTCTGGTTCTTGTCAATTGGGTCACACAATTTCACCACCAGGGGGTACTAAAAGCTGATAAAAAGAGAGTATGCATAAGCCTATTTATTTCTCTACAGGGACATTTCCAGAGCTGAACAATGTTTTAAGATGTAACAATCCGAAGTTTACTGCTTCTGACAGGTGGGTACGGTGTGACATGGCCACAGCTCTTGGCACCTTT